TGGCTCCATTTGCAAAGGAACATTAATTTATTAGGAGTACAATAAAGAGCTACTAAACTACCTTATTAAACTATGAAACCTGACTAAGAAATCTCAACTTGTCTTTATTAACTCATAGACAAGAAAGAGGTGATGTCATATCTACTTATAGAATTCTTAGGAGGGATTTTTGACAAACATCAAACTTTTTTAATATCAATGAAGATGCTAGACTAAGAGGTTATAACTATAAATTGAAAAAGGAGCCTTTTGAAACCAATGTAAGGCAAAACTTTTTAGTTAACTGAGTTTTTGATAAATTTAACAGTTTAAGTGATGACATAGTAGAAGCTACTAGTTTAAATAGTTTCAAAAAAAAAGTTTGATGACAACTGACAGAATGTTGTACCTAATCTTATTTTAACTATTGGCGATGTCAAACGAAAAGGCGGCACTTCTTCGTCTTCTCAGTGCCACTCCTAGCGGAGATTGGAAATCATCATGGCCACTGCGACTTTGTTAGCAGCGCGCCTGAAAAGTTCAATCGAACTACACCCGAACCATTCACGTAGATTACGAAGCCACGATTATTTTTCTTCTATCCCACACTTCTTTTGCCCTGACATGATGTTTCTTAAAAGTTCGTACTTTTCACCTCTCACAATGTGCCGCCAAGTATTCCATCTTTCTAGTTTTTATCTCATTTAGAATTTCGCATCTTTTGTCTAAAGTTTGGAGTACTTGCGTGTTAGTGACGCGGTCCATCCATGATATTCTGAGAATGCGCCTATAGCACCACATCTCGAAAGCTTCGATGTTTTTTATGGTCAACTGTTTTAGTGTCCAAGCCTCAACTCCATATAACAGGGTAGAAAAGACATAACACCGCAGCATTCGTATTCGTAACTTTATAATTGATATCACGATTGCAAAAGAGTTTGCGCATTCTATTAAAGACTGATCTAGCGATTTCTATTCTACATCTAATCTCTAAGGCGGCACAGTGCGGTAAAATTTTGAACTAGTGCATGTAGGAATAACAAAACATTTTGTATTTAGTTATACACACATAGCATAGTTATAAACATTTTAAATATTATTGAATAAAGCACAATAAGGTAACAAAATAAAAAGTAAATGTAAAACAGTATTGTTCTGCACAACAATGCACTAATTATTGATCAGAAGGAATAAGTATGCACTTTCTTCGTCGTGACAAAAATCTATAAGACCATTGAGTACAGGAATTAAAATTGGAAATCGATATCAAGTTATATGATAGTGTGTTCACAACATTTTTTATCAAACAGATTTATTTTCAAGTAAATTTGCTGAACAGAATTGCAACATTTTATTATATATAATGTAAATAATCCAATTACATTTGTTTACTACATAAATAACTTGCCACTAGCCTCGAAAAATAAAGTATTAGATTTGGGAATTTGGTTAGACACCAAACTGTCATTCCACAGCCACATTAACCAAGTAACAAACAGAGCGATGAAAGTGCTGGGATTTATCCAACGCACATCTGTGGATCTGTCTTTTATTTACATTTAGAAGACTTTATTTGTGGTCTCGTTAGGCCCATTCTTGAGTTTGGATCAGTTGTATAGTCCCCATCATACCACTGTTACATTCAACAGACTGAAAGAGTCCAGAATAAATTTTGAGGGTAGCAGCCTATAAGAGTGGATACAAGAGAGAGGAATACGACTATCAGTGGATAAGAGATAGTCTTAACTTACCAACACTTGAGTCAAGGAGGAACATTGTTAGATTTATGTTTCTTACACAAAGTTATCAATGCTTTTATAGATTGTCCTCAACTCTTATCGCTTGTTAGTCTTAAAGTTCCTAGTAGAAGCAACAGACAATCAGAAATCTTTTCGTGTGCCATTTCACCCACACTACTTATGTTATCAATGAACCAACTACAACGATTGGTCCGGAGTGCTAATAGCTTGCCAAGACAAATAAATATTTTTCCAAAATTAGTTTGTTTAAAAAACAACTAAAAAGAGTCTTACAATAAGTTGGTTGTACATCTGTATTATTCTTATATGTTTGTATTAATCTGAGGTGTTTATTTTAATAATCTATTGTTGTTAAGGTGTAACTTTGTAAAACTTGTGATTGTATTTTTAATAATATATTGTTTTTTAAGATGTAACTTTGTAAAAAATTGTGACTGTTTATTTTAATAATATATTGTTTTTAAAATGTAACTTTGTAAAATTGTAAGAAAATGGATGCCATAATATAAATAAATAAAAAAATGTGCCTACCTAACCTAACCAAATATTAACACTAACATAGATCTTAATTAAAATTTCTATTACAGCTGAGCATGGAAAAAGAAACTTTTAAAGAAAGGTGTTGTTCCCTCTCAATGCCTTCTTAAAGGAAAACACAAAAGAAAAATCAATGAGGAACTGGTGAATGCTAGACTAATGCGTAATAAAACACATGTACATTCCTCCCTGGCGGGCTTTACAAGTGCATTTTGCCACTCACTTGTCTCTTAACACATCCACAGTGATGTGTGGCACCATTTAAATTAGTCGTTTGCAGACACAAATCGACTAATTTGTTATTATGTTTGCCACACAACACAACGTGGCCATCCCTTAACAAGACATCGCCTTCTTTTAAAGGTCTTTTTGTGTCTCCTATATGTATCAAAATATGGGGCAGACTAAGTTTAATTTCTTTATTTGCCACTGTGTTAACAAAAAAATCAATGGAAGATAATAAATAGGATAGTTTTTAGACACAACAATGATTCACCTACAGAGATTATGGTAGCTCTGTTTTGTTTTCCTACATGCGTGATCAGCTGATCATCTGTCAAAGCGCCCCCTACAGTTCATTGACATCGCCAATAATGTTTGTATTGTTATTTTATTCTGAAAACTTAAGGACATATTTGATATGATTTCTATTCTTAAGAATAAATTTTGTAATCTTATGTATACTTTATAATATCTGTATTTGCTATTATTGCAAGAAAATTTTCTAAGTACTACTTAATTTCTTTGGATATTATTTTTATTTTTACTTTGATAGAAAATTTTATTTACATTATATTATTTACTTTAGTACCTACAAATAATTTGTAATTTGGGCCACATAAGCTCTGTTTGACTAAATATCATTATATATAATAATAATAATAATCATTAAAAGTAGAAAACCTTGAAGAACCATATCTTGCTTAAACTTAGTCCTAGAACCTTCTACTACAGATAATTTTAAATGTAATTGATTTTTCTTTTACTTAAATGTACCACTGAATATACCTAATGGACAGATTCGATATAAATATCAGGATCAAATTGTTTTTTAGTGTCCCTTTGTGTGATTCTTCTTGATTGACAATGGTAATACAATAAAATGTTGAAGTCGTGGAGTAAAAATAACCTCAGCACAGAGGTTAATGCTTCTATCATACTAACAAACTTTGAACTATGAGCTTACAATACAATTTAATCTAGGCCATTACTGCAACACTTAGGAAGTTCAATTTGAAAATATATTATTCAGCAATTTATTAAGTTACATGTAAATGGACTCTAATTATTAAAATATTACACAATATGTTTTCACAATGTTTCAATTAGGATAGGGTGAAACAGGAAGGGATTAATTTGTGATTGAACACCTAACCTTACCTACTGTAAATTCTAAATACTTTTACCAAATGTCCTTTTGAAGAGGAAGGATAAAAGTTTTTTCTGTAAAGTAATGTCTATACCTATAACCCCGTCGAAAAAAATTATGGGACAAAAATCCTGTTTTTGCTTTGTTTTTTGAATATATTGGGGGAATATATCAAAATATATATATTTGAATATATAATATATATATATATATATATATATATATATATATATATATATATATATATATAAATATATGGGATCATTGACATATGAAACAATAAAACCTTATGTTGTAGTCCTTTACTATTTTTTGAATAATGCAGAATTCGATTGTCATTTTGTGTCATATTTCTTTGGCATATTAACAGAATGTCATTTAACTAAGTAAAGCTTTAAGCTAAGCTGTTAAAAATTATTCCTATTTATATTACTTCTAAATTAATATGGGAGGATTTGAATCAACCAATATAGATGCATGTGCCTCTATAACGGTTAATATAGACACACAGGAGCATATTTGTTGCTTAAATATTGTGTTACTAACCTTTTTCAGTTTTTCTTTAAATTGGTTAAGTTTATTTCCATGTTGTTCTGTTCTACTTTTCCTCTTGGATATCTCCTGAATTTCACATTTAAAGTCATAATCCAACTCATTATAATCTATTTCTATTTTACACACCTCCCTAATTTCTTGTTTTACTTCCATTTGTTTAAACTTCGTTTTATGTATTTCATTCAATAATAATTTTACTCAAAAAACAAAATCACTACAAACAAAAATTTTCTACAATATTCTCATTCAGCATTCAGCTTAGATTAGACTTTAGACCACAGACCACTAATAACAAAATAACCTTTAGACTACAAACAAAAATAACATGTGATGATATCATGATGCAATTTTTTTCGTAAATCACAAACAAATTCAATTCTTCTTCTTTAAGTATTAAGTACCTATGGGTTATGTAGCTCCATACCTGAAAAATTCTCAAAGGAAACACAACATACACAGTTTAGTATGGGTAGTATATAGACCAGAGTTTTTATGTAATATGCTTTAGACTACAGACAAAAATAACATAAGATGTAATTTATGTAAATCAACAATGACATTTATTTTTTCATAAATCATCACAAACAACTTCTATTCTTCTGTTCTTCTTTGTATTTGTATGTAATACATACATATGGGTTATGTAGCTCCAAACCTGAAACAGATTGTAATCAGTCACTGACGTAATAGATGCTGAATCTACGTTCCATGTTTCATGTATTGACTTTTGTATGACGTCATGTCATAAAAACAATTTGGTTATAAATAGCAGATTTGAAGATTTGTCTAGTTTATTGATCTTGAAGGATGGAGGGTACACGTATGTTGCGGTTTCGGGTTTGTTTTATATTGCTGTGTATTTGTGGTTTAACATGTTGTGAAATAAAAAAATTTCCTCTTCTAATGCCCAATGTATTCCCATCAAGAGTAAGTCATTATATTTAACCATTATATTTTTAATTTACATGACCTTTATTATAGGTATATGAATTTATTTTAAAATTTAATTTGTTTATATTATGCTGGATGTTAAATAATTAATTTCCTCTGATTATTACTAGGTGTAGGTAACAGGAAAGCGGAATTAAGCTCAATGTAATGGAACCACTTTAAATATGCCAATTTGTTTTTAAACACAAGACAAAAAAAGAAAATTTAAATCCAATAATATTAGACTAATAAAGAATTACAAGACTACACCTATGAAAGTACAGAGAAACTAGACAGTGTTTGTGTAAAACAGTTTTAAGAATTATGAAACTATTTTCTTGTTGTTTAAGTTAAATATCCTGTTTATATGGGATTAAGCCATAATTGACATAAGAGCTAAACAACTTGTTATAATAACACCTCACTATTTTTTCCTGATATTTAAAGTGTTAAGAATATAATAATTCCACAAATGTTCCAAAAACTTGTCAAAATAAAAAAACCAATAATATTAACATGAGTAACATCCAGCATCTAATATATTCTCACATAGGGTGCCTAAATATAGACCTGATAAAATTAAATATGTACAAGCTGATAAAAAAGCAAAATGCAATAAAAATATAGACATAAACAGGCAGAAACACTAACTGAGTTTTTTAAGTAATTAAATCGGAATAGTCAAATGAAAGTAGAATATTGTAAGGGAAACAATGAAATTACTTCTGACTAAATATTAATTATTGGAATCATTGATTAACATTAGCTAATTAATAGCATATGGTACCTATATCTCTATTTGCTCTGTTTATCATATTTTATCTAAATTGTGCATGGAAGTTATATGTGGATCGATAGTAATATAAACAAGTAGTGTTAAAGGATTGTCAATACAAAATGCTTTTTTATGAACTCATATGGATACGTCAGATGGTCTAATTAATCTAAATTAACTCATATCAGATTGTTATATGTACGTACATGTAGGAGGTCTATTGGCTTGAATTGGTTTAATCCTCTTTCATCTAGGGTAATATGGTTTTTGTAGTGACATTCAAAAATCAGTGGCGTGCCGTGACATTTGAAGAAAGGGATGCAAATTAAAGGAAATTATAAAAAGATTTACTAACATTTTTACTTGTAGTGCAGCTCTATTATTGTGTCATCCTTGGCAAACTCATTTATGACAGACTCATAAAAACTGGTATTTTCAGACATTTCTTTAATAAGTTCCTTTTCAATTGATAAAATTGCTAAGTTAGCTAGCATCTCCTGACTTGTGGAATTTCTGACAAAGTTTTTAATCTGCTTTAGTACAGAAAAACTTTGTTCTACAGACGCACTTGTAGCAGGTATTGTCATCACTAAATCACATAATTTTGAAACCTCACTATATGCTTCATCCAGTTCAGTTTGTTTAAGAAATGTCAGTATTTTAGAACTGGTATCAGTTTGTACAGTGTGTTGAGAAGCATACAAAACGCACAGTTGGAAATGCAGGGAAAAAATGTCAAAAAAGTTTGCATAATGTTTTTTTAGACAATTAAAAGCCTCATCCGGGAAACTACAGTTGGTATATTTATATTTATATATAGTTGCATAACTCCACAAATTGTAACTCACAAAGGTTTTTAAATCTTTTTTTAAGCTGCTGGGAAATATTATCTATTATTTCACAAAAAAGTCGATAATAAGATATTTTTGTGTCACCTACATTGTCAATTCTAGTGCGTTTTCTTTTGGGTTCCATCTCTTCGAGATCGCAAGTTTTTTGCCACATGATATCAAATTGCTCCCTCTGTCTGTTGATTTGGACTTCGAATTCGTTAAGTTTTTGAATACAAAATCCAATATCTTTCGATTTAGTCTGCAATACATCAAATAAAATGTCTGTAGAAGGAAATATTTCAGAAAATACTTGAAGCAAAAAATTAAAATCAAAATCTCGTTTGACAAATTCCAAATATCCTCTTGAGGAATTCATAGTTTCAGGGTCCCAACGGTCTTTATGCTCCAAAATGCTTTCTAATAACTCTATTAGGGATTGCAGATATTTTTTGAAACTGTTTTTGCTAACCTCCCATTATAGTTCCATCTGGTGGGAGCTGCTCGAGGGAACCTTTTCTGAAGAATGACATCTAAAGAATGTGTCCTTTTGAATGATTTAGAAACAAAAGCAGCCATTCCGCTAAAGGTTTGTAAAAATATTTTGCAAGTCTTATTAAGTGCGACTGATTGCGCTAGAACTAAATTTAGCCTGTGTGCAAAGCAGTGCACAAAAATTGCATTTTTAAAACCTTTCCTTAACTTTGGTTTGAAGTCCTCCCAGGTACCCAGCCTATACGGCAGCTCCATCATAACTTTGAGCAACAAGTTTGGAACCACAGTCCAGTTCCTCAACTATATTGCAAACATGTCTATATATACCTTCTGCCGATCTATCTGCAGTTATATCCAAAAATCCCCAAATTCGTTCTCATATTTCACCATTATTTTTGATGTACCGCAGAACAACCGACAATTGACTCAAATTTACGATATCTATAGTTTTATCTAGAACAATGGAAATAAATTGTGCTTCTTTTATTTCTTCTTTGATTCTTTGCAGATACTTATTTACAGATTGATAATTTTCATTTTGCCTTCGGAAACCAAGTTCATCTTCTCCAAGGAAACATGTAATGTGAATCAGTCTCTTTAATATTTCACAATTTTTTTTTACTTGCTTATTATACATGCGCTGACTAACTTTAAGCTGATTATCTAGAGCGTGATCAATTCGTGTTTTCCCAAAAGTCTTTTCTTTTATAACTGCTTCTAAATGCGTTTTACTTAAAATGTGTCGTTTTATAGATTTGTGCAAATTATTTAAATCTGAGTAACCCGTACTATTCTACACGTTTTTCTTACTTATATTAAATAAAATACACGGAAAACAAAATAATCTCTAGAGAGTTTTACAACCTGTCAACCACTTAAAGGAATCATATATATTTTTGTCAAAATAACGTGTACATTTCGTCAACTTGGTTTGAATTTCCAGTAATGGTTTTGGCCTGCCTACAGATATAATATTACACTTTTCTTGAAAGTTAAATTTTGAAAATCCACATTTTAATAAATCGCACACAATACAGCACTGTCCATTACTGTTTTCCTGGCAGGATTGGGAACTTGTACACGGTTGTGGTAAATCTGAATTAATTTCGGAAAAACTACTCAAATTAATATACAGGGCGGTCTTTAAGTAATTGTACAAAAGGAAACCGTACATTCTGCACTTTAAAATATTACGATTTAAGTCAACTTGCTTAAGTAAAATGTTGACATTAAGAAAGATACAGGGTGTTAAAGTGGAAATTTAAAATTTTATTTTTCGCTATAACTTTTGTTTGTTAACGTTTATGTATAAAAATTTACAACTGGGTACTATTGAATATAAAAATTTTTAATATGATACACATTTTGATGTAGCTGATAGAGGGCGCCACATACGCCACATATGTGGCATAAATTTGCACGTAACTTTTTTGCTTTTTAAGTTATCAACATTTTTGATAAAAAACATTAAAGATACATTATTTTAACATAAAAAAGGTATACTTGTTAATAACTTTAAAACTCAACAGTTTTCGAGATAATCGCATTTTAAAAATCAACTGCATAATTCTGATTTACCACAATTACTCCAGGCAACGAAAGAAAAATAGACAAAAACATTAATACTTCTGAATTTTGGTATGAAATATCTTTAATAAAGTTAATAGCTAATGAAATATTAAGTAAAATAAATATATCAACATGATAATTAATAATATAATTTGACAAATAATAGGATAATTGGATTTGACATCAAACAAATATGTTTTATATTAAATTAAAGTCATAAACATTTTATTTTTCAAACCAAATTAAGAAATAGTTAAACTAATTAAGATTAAACTCTTTGTCATAGTAAGTGTTCGATATATCCACCATTTTCCTCAATACATTTATCAATCCGTTCCATAAAAAATCGTCTGATATTAAATAGCATCATCGGTTATATGCATCAAAGTTGGTTGCGAGTGTTTATGGGATTCTTGTAGACACGTTGTTTCATTGCGTCCCATACATCAAAATCTAGCGGATTAAATTCTAGGCTACGTGGTGGCCAAGGAAAATAACTACCACGACCAATCCAACGTTCCGGAAAGTTGGTATTCAAGTATGTTCTCACTGCCCTTGTATAATGTGGTCGTGCACCATCTTGCATAAACCACATATTTTGCCTTAAGTTTAATAGCAATTCATCCGATAAATCAGTAAACTCATTTTGTAAAAAATGTAAAGAGTTCTTACCATTCAAATTATGAGGTAACTCGCGTGGCCCTAAAAAATGATTACCAATGATTCCACACCATACGTTTATTTTAAATTCATGTTGGAAATGCCTTTCTCTCTTAAGGTGGGGATTTTTAGTATCCTAGAAATGATTGTTCCTTAAATTAAAAACACCATGGCGTGTGAATATAGCTTCGTCCGTAAATAATATTCTATCGACGAAAGAGTTGTCAAGATTTTGCCTGTTTCGGATATGATTTGCAAATCTGTATCTTAAAGGTAAATCTGCTGGTAATAGATTTTGCACAGGTGTAAAATGATAAGGGTGAAAATGCTCACGGTGCAGGATTTTTAAAACTATTACTTCATCTTCTTGATCAGGCGTAATGATTTTTGGTCGACCTAAGTTGTCACGTTTAGGACGAAATGAACCATTTTTGCCTAAATTTCGAAATAGATGTTTAAATGTTTGGTGATTGGGTTGCAGCCTGTTTGGGTATCTTCTTAAATATTCCTTTTTCGCTGCTCGTCCGTTAAAGTGTTGCTGACAATAAATAGCAACCGTATCTCTCATATCCATATTAGAAAAATTATTATGCCTTGGCATTTTCTGCTTTTCTTTAAGAAACCAAAATAGACTAGATATTGCAAAAATCATTGATTGAACAAAACAAGACTTATTTTTAATTGTGAAAAGCATTCGTGACATCAGCCTACTATAAAATTTCCCGTAATGCATTGGGGTTGTCTACTGTCATCAAAACTGCCTTAAAAAAAACGTGGTAGGTACAATAGCTGACACTGTAGACTAGCACTTAGCTTCATATAATGTTTTCTATATTTTTTAAATAATATTTTTAACATTTTAAAGTTATTATTTATTTATTATTTATATTTTAAACAAATTATATTATATTAAAATAATTCAATAAATTAAGTTTGCTAGTAGCGTCACCTGCTAACGTATCAACAAAATACAAACCCTTCGAAGTGTGACTTAATATATTAATTTATTATTGAAATATAAATTTGATATTCGACCATTAATTTGATAGTACAATTTGATTATAGTTTGAAAGGAATTTATTGACAACTAACTTTTAATGTGACGCCATAGCGTGAGCGCTACTGCGTCACGTAGCGCTCGTGACGCCGTCTTGTAGCGCTTCTTACGTGACGCTCACCTCAGGATTTTACAATAAAGAAAAAGTAATACAACGTCAGCATAGAAACTTATAAAAGCGATATATAAAGGAAATTGTAAACATGATGACGGCCAACTTCTGAATACGAACACGGCACTCAAAGAAGAAGATAGAAGCTTCTCTCCAATAAGACATTTAGCAACCATATGATTTTCGGATATGATTTGCAAAAGCATTTCGGGATATTACATTATCATATTTGAGTTGTTTTAATAATCACAAACTAATAATTATGCTTGTTCACAGGTATTCAGTGCTTTACCGCAAAATTATCACAACTAAGAATGATTATGCAGCTGACTTATAAAATGCGATTATCTCGAAAACGGTTGAATTTTGAAGTTACTAACAAGTATACCTTTTCTTTGTAAAAATAATGTGTCTTTAATATTTTTTAATAAAAATAAGGCTAACTTAAAGAGAAAAAAAATTAAGCGCAAATTTATGCCATATATGTGGCATATGTGGCGCCCTCTATCAGCTACATCAAATTATGCATTAAATTATAATTGCTCCTACTCAAAAGCATCCAATTGTAAATTTTTGTCTATAAACATTCACAAACTTGAAAGTTATAGCGAAAAATAAAATTTTAAATTTCCACTTTAACACCCTGTGTCTTTCTTAATATCAACATTTTACTAAAGCAAGTTGACTTAAATCTTAATATTTTAAAGTGCAGAATCTACGGTTTCTTTTTGTACAATTACTTAAGGACCACTCTGTATAACTATAAAAACACGTGAAACACAGCAAAAACTACTCGAATTAATATAAATGCAAAACACGTCAAACACGCTGTATTACAATATGATATGCGAACTACTCCAGTCG